CCCACATCGGACAATTGTAAGATGGAGCAGCAGATTCAAGTAGTATAAATAAAACATGATATTGCTTCTCTAGAACTTAAACAGGCCTCTTGTTAGTCAAGCCCATCGTACAGTTGGGCTTAAACAAGTTAATTTTGTTATTAGTCGGATAATTAATCCGATTAATAGCGTCTTATAAGCATTAATTAAGAAAAAATGCTCATTCAGTTAAAGAGAACTAGTTAATGCAGTTTGAATAAAACTGCATTAACTAGTTCTTTTTAATTGAATGGGCATTTTTTTCTTCGTTAAGGAGTGTGCCACGTGCTATTAAGGGTCTGGCTGGTTGAAACGCGGCGGTTGCGATTGTGGTTGTGGGAGTTTGCGGATGTAGGTGGTTGCGGTTTCTAGCGTTATTAGGCGATTTGTACGACTGGTACAGCTATTAAAAACTGGTGCGTTTGTGGGACATTTATGACTGATTGATTATGAGATACTACAGCGGTTCAATAATAAATTTCCAATATTAACATATTATAACATTATAAAAATAAGAAAACATACCGTTATGATAAAAAATAATAACTATTAATATATTATAAGTAATAACAATATTATTTTATTTAGATGAAAATATAATTTCTATAATTAATAAAATATTATAATATAATATAATATAATTAATTATATATTTATATATTTATACATTTATATATTTATATATTTATATATTTATATATTTATATATTTATATATTTATATATTTATATATTTATATATTTATACATTTATATATTTATATATTTATATATTTATATATTTATATGTTTATATATTTATATATTTATATATTTATATACTTATATATTTATATATTTATATATTTATATATTTATATATTTATATATTTATATATTTATATATTTATATATTTATATATTTAATATTGAAAAATACAGTGAAAATTCTTGATTTAAAGTTTTTATAAATAGATTATGATATTTTTAGTGAATTTTAAAATAAAAGGTAGATATAGTTTTAGTTATATTATTTTTATTTTTATATTTTAATTTTAATTTAAAAGAAAAGTAGTGTTTTTACCCACCCGCAATCGTCCGGAAACGCAAACGCTAGCTGAAACCAGCTTTTGATTTTAAGAGGTTGGGAGCGGTTTAAAACGATTTGTAATGGTTTTTGTGATTGTTATAAAACGCTAGCAACCGCCATCAACCGCAAAAGCTGCGTTTGCGGGTGGTAGCGGGAAAACCAGTCGGACGCTAACTGCTCGGTCTAGCTCGTTGTTATTGCTTTGTTATTATTTGTTGTTGCCGTCTAGAATTGGGCTTCCATCTTCAACTTTTATGGGCCAATATTTGGGTTAGATACTTAGAAGAAAAAGTACGGGATATTACTAACTGCAACAGCCGATTACAAAGCCCAAGACAAGGACCATTTATTGTTTGACGAAGATTTATTTNCTGCTCGGTCTAGCTCGTTGTTATTGCTTTGTTATTATTTGTTGTTGCCGTCTAGAATTGGGCTTCCATCTTCAACTTTTATGGGCCAATATTTGGGTTAGATACTTAGAAGAAAAAGTACGGGATATTACTAACTGCAACAGCCGATTACAAAGCCCAAGACAAGGACCATTTATTGTTTGACGAAGATTTATTTTTTTCTGTATGCAAGTCGGTCAAGAATTTGTAAAGTCCAATATGATTAGGATGATTTATCAGCACAAATCGTATTTGCATCCATTGCTAAACTTTTGATCAATTAATTGTGCACTTATACATCTCAAAAGTTCCAAAAAAGTACCTAAAGTTCCCAATTGGTTGAAAAGCCTCTGATCATACACAACAACCTCTCCACCTTTTCCTCTCGTAGACGCCATCCCAAGTGCGACTCTCTCGCTGACATCACGGTCTCTGTTTCTACTCATCTTTCTCTTCTTCTTCTTCTTCTTCTTCTTCTTCTTCTTCCCCATACCTTCCAACCTCCTCTCCCTGCCACTCTCAACAGTTCTTTCAAAACGAGCCTTTTGAGCAAGAGCTCTCAACTCCTCCTCTCTTCTCTCCTTCTCCTTCACCACCATCTCCTTCCCCACCTTCCTCCGCATCGAAACCGCCTCTCTAGCCTTCTCCTCAGCTACACACATCGCCTCCGAGAGCTTCACAAACCCATCACTAATCTCAACGTCGTCTTGCAACCCTCTTCCATCAGCAACGAGACGCTTCTCAAGAGGTATAACGTAACCTTTCAGATTCTTCCAATTCGAAATACAAGGAGGGATCTTCCAGTCTTGTTGATCCTTAACGGTAAGAGGCCTAGGCGGCGAATGCATGACAGTGACAGGTGGAGAGTCAGAAGAAGGCTTTGGGATTCTCTTATGCTTAAACTTTGGTGGCACGAGTGGGTCCACACGTGTCTCCACCATCCTAATAATCCTCTCCTTCGCAGCGATATACTTAGAGCCTTGTGCTGCACTCAACCTCACATTCATGATCTTATCCATAGTAGTCTCATCATGTATCTGCTTCTTCTGCAACTCATGCTTATTAGATTTATTATTATTATTTTCATTTTTTTTAATAAAAAGAGGTTGGGGACAGAAGCTAGAGTTATACTTACCCATACCAAGAGGATACTGAACAACGTGGATCTCAGGGAAAGCGCCACCGTCTCCAAACTCCACAGGGTAACCTTGACGCTTTAGGTAAGGAGGGACTGCCTTGAAAGCCACGGAAGATGAGGAGTATTCGGATTCAGTGAAACGGTTTTTGAACCATGGAGCGTTGGAATGGTCGTGAAACGACGTCGTGGTTGTTGTTGATTTGGCTGGAGGGAGAAGGGATTTAAGAGACTCCATAACGAGTTATAAGAAGGAAAAAAATAACTAGGGTTTATAAAACCTCGACGGAACAATCTCTATTTATAAACCTTACCACCGACCCAGAAAAGGAAACTGGATGAGGGTCTCGTTTTTTCCTTTTTTAGTTTAGCACGAGATTCTTATTGGGCTATGTTTAAATTTGGGGCCCATTAGCAATACGTGACTTTGAGCAAATTTTGAGAGAGATTAAAGTTCGGTTTATTCCGGTTGTGTAGATTAAGACAAACAATAAAAAAGATGGTCGTCGCCTGAGAGATTCGAACTCTCGCGGGGAAACCCCATGTACTTAGCAGGCACACGCCTTAACCACTCGGCCAAAGCGACTTGTTGATATAATAAGTAATAAATTTGTTACTTATTTTTTCTTGTTTTCAAGTTAGCGTTTTAAAGTTGCTTTTTTTTTTTTTTTTTTTTCTGTTTGATATAAAAAAATGAATAATCGAATCAATCGCGGACCGCACATGATGTAAGGTCCACGAAACAGTGATAAACCGGTTCACTATCAAGACATGTTTACTGATTTTGATTATTTTAATATTTCTTTTTTTTGGAATCTATGTGAACCCCATTGTTTTACTAATGGGAGTGCTCTAATAAACTCTTCAAATCAAATATTGTCAAGTGATTTCTTAAGAATTATTAAAATCTACCTCTTAAAATTTATGGTCATTTTAAAAATATATTTTAAAAATTAAAATGATCAAAATAACATTTTTTATTTTGAAAATTTTAAATTTTTATTTACTTTTTAAAGTTTGAAATCATATCTCCAAAACTCCATTCTTCAACTCTAAACAGAAAAATCTAGGATTAGTTAACCAAATGGATATAAATATATATTTAATAAAATATTTAAGTGATATTTTAGTCATTTTAATTGTTAAAATCTATATTTGTAACAAAAAAAATTTAGGTCTATCCTAATCATTTTCTCTTTAAATGTTGATGGAAAAAGTTAGTTGATATAATCTAGGTTGCATGGAATCGGAAACGGATACGCGGAAACGAAACGTTTCGAAACGTGGAAACATGATTTTTAAAAAAATTAGAAATGGAAACGTTTTGGAAACGCCTATAATATATATATGTGTATATATATGTATGATTAATCAACATGTAAATTTATTTTTTTGTTTGATTTACCTAAGAAAAAAGATTAAGTAATATAAATATTTTTTGTACATTTTATTAAGAGAAAATGACTAGAATAGACCTAAAAAGTTTTTATCACAAATATAGATCTTAACAATTAAAATGACCAAAATAGCACTTAAATGTTTTATTAAATATACATTTATACCCTTGGGTTAACTAATTATAGATTTTTTGTTTAGAGTTGAGGAGTGGGGTTTTGTGGATATGATTTCGAAATTAAAAAAATTAAGAAAATTTAAAATTTTCAAAATAAAAATTGCTATTTTTGTCATTTTAATTTTTGAGGTCTATTTTTGTGATAAAAACTTAAAAGAGGGCTATTTTAGAAAATTATCCTTTTATTAAAATTATAATCAATAACTAGAAAAGTAACACATGTTATCATTCGATAAAACTATGGAGTAAATTCATTCCAAATTAAATCGTTATACTAAAATGATAACAAATATCAAAATATAATATTAGAATATAAAATAATAAACATGTAATCACTAACATTAAATGCCAAATATTTATTTTATACGTTTCTAATTAGAATCGCGAGTTTCCAAATCAGAAACACAAGTTTCCATCGTGTTTCCAAAATAAAGTTTCCAAGAAACGTGTTTCCAAAGAGTTTCCTCGAGTTTCCAAGAGATTCTGATTCCGAAACGTTTCCGAAACAGGAAACGGACCTTGAACGGAGTTTCCATGCAACCTAGGATATAATATTCAGAACAAGTTCACTATTTTTTTAAAAGTACACATAATACATTTTTCTTAAAAAGTTTAAATAAATATCAGTCATTGTTAATACATTTTTTTTGGTCAAATTGTTAATACATTTTAACAAAGAAAAATAGACATTAATGAGGATGCGGCACGTCAGATACTCTGATTAATAATGATGATAATAACACGTCAGCAAATCAGAGAAAAGTAGTTTGGTAAAAGAGGGTTAAGCTTCCCACAACCGCCAAAGGAAGAACCTTTCCTTTTTCTCTGTTCTCTTCTTTAAATTAAAAAAGAAATAAAAGTCTCGATTTTTCGTTGGATTACGATCAACCTCGAAGCAAACCGTGACTCTGTTTCTTCCTTTGAGACAACCTAATTGATCCGCCACGGCTTTACAAACTCTCTCGTGATTGCAAATTTCTCCTTCTCTCACATGTGAAATCAATCGTCTTAATTAGGTCGGTGATTTTAGGGTTTGATTTGTCTGTGCTGTGATTCTTGTTTTGTTTCCAAAGTTTCGATTTTGATCGTAACCCAATTCAATTCTCGTCTTGTTTACTCGTAATGCACCTCTCTTTCTTTGATCAGATCCTCATAGCTTGAATAAAGGAATCAGTGAATTTAGGGTTTAGGTTTAACATAAACCTTAGCCTTTATTGTTTTCTTCATTAAAAGATTTGATTTTGATCCTAAACCCAATCTTATTCTCCTCTTGTTACTCTTAATTTTCAGGTTTTGTTTGGGAGAAAGTGTTACTAAAAATGGAGTGGAGGGGAATCCTCTGCTCTCTCTTCTTTATTATCTCAATGGGAGAATCTTCAAGTAGATTCCGGTTAATGTGGCTTGATAACCTCGTTGTTGATGATGCTGAGACTACTTTCACTTGGCCTATCTTGAGTGCCAGTGTTTTTGTTCTTGTTGCCCTCCTTCTCCCTATGTATCTCATCTTTGAGCATCTTGCTTCTTATAATCAGCCTGAGGTTTGTTACTCCATCCTTCATCTGTACAACTTTACTTTAATAAACTTTTGTGACATTTGCTATAGTATGTTGATAGATGATTTGTGTTTACAGGAACAGAAGTTTCTTATTGGACTTATTCTGATGGTTCCTGTCTATGCTCTGGAATCGGTATGATTGGTTTATGTATATATGTTAGATTTCATAATTTGTGGTGCAGTTTTTTTTCTTATGATTTTTTTTTTTTTTTGTGCTAGTTTTTGTCTTTGTTGAATTCAGAAGCAGCTTTTAACTGCGAGGTGATTCGGGATTGTTATGAGGCTTTTGCGCTCTATTGCTTTGAGAGATATTTGATTGCTTGTTTAGGTAATGCTTCTTTCGCATAACCATATCAATATCTGTATCTTTACTACCTTCTGAGTCCATGAGTATGATTTGTTTGGCCTTCAAATAAGCATGAAAGGGATTAGTTTTATATTAAGAGTCATGGAAACTCATGTTGTCATGTTATGGTGTGGCTAGATTGAGATTTAAAGTAATTGTGAACGTGATGTAGTTAGGTGATTGAGCTGGATTTGTTGTGTAGAAAAAAGGAAGAGAAATTGTTGAGGGCTTTATGGCTTAGATTCTTGGTTTACTTTACTGACTTGTGATTAGTCTCAGTTATAACATGCGAGTTATTCTTTTTTCATCTCTGTATCTGAAGATGGAGAAGAACGTACGATTGAATTTATGGAACAGCAAACAGTTATCACCCAGAGCACTCCTCTTCTTGAAGGCACATGTACTTATGGAGTTGTGGAACATCCTTTTCCAATGAACTGGTTCTTAAAAGATTGGAATCTTGGTCCTCAGTTTTATCACGCTGTTAAAATTGGCATCGTTCAATATGTATGTTACTGTCATAGATTTTTTTTGTAGACTATGCTCTATCAGCAAGGTTCAACTGACTTAAAATTTTCTGCTTCAGATGATAGTGAAAATGATCTGTGCTCTATTAGCTATGATCCTTGAAGCCTTTGGAGTTTATGGAGAAGGAAAGTTCCAATGGAACTACGGGTAATTTTCTTTTTACCTTCTCTTGTCTTGTCTTGTCTTTGATTCTAACATCTTGTCTCATTGCAGATATCCATATCTAGCTGTAGTCCTGAATTTCAGTCAAACATGGGCATTGTATTGCCTTGTACAGTTCTACGGTGTCATCAAAGATAAGCTAGCACCCATCAAACCATTAGCCAAGTTTTTGACATTCAAGTCTATTGTGTTCCTCACCTGGTGGCAAGGTATCATTGTTGCATTCCTCTTCTCTATGGGACTGTTCAAAGGGTCGTTAGCTAAGGAGCTCAAAACTCGAATACAGGACTACATCATCTGTATAGAGGTAGTTTTTTCATAAAACCAAATCCACAGTTTGTGACTGTATAAGCTTATGAAACTTGAAAATGTATGTACAGATGGGTGTTGCTGCTGTGGTTCATCTCTATGTCTTTCCAGCAGCGCCATACAAGCGTGGAGAAAGATGTGTCCGGAACGTAGCAGTGATGTCAGATTATGCTTCTATAGACACACCACCTGACCCAGAAGAGGTTAAAGACAGTGAAAGAACAACTAGGATGCGGTATGGTAGACATGATGAGACAGAGAAACGTTTGAGTTTCCCACAGAGTGTGCGTGATGTGGTGATGGGGAGTGGTGAAATCATTGCGGATGACATGAGGTTCACAGTCTCCCACGTGGTGGAGCCTGTTGAGAGAGGAATAGCTAAAGTGAACAGAACGTTCCATCAGATATCTGAAAACGTGAAAAGATTTGAGCAGAAGAAGAAGAAAACCAAGGATGATTCACATGTGATTCCAATGAGTACATGGAATAAAGAATTCTCAGAGGTTCATGAAAACCTTTATGAAGGTGGGAGTGTGAGTGATAGTGGTGTAGGAGGCAGGAAGAGACATCACCAGTCTAGAGTCTCAGGGTTGTGGAGTAGAATGCGAAGGTAACAGAGCTAAACAACACCTAACACAGAGAGAAGTTGTAGATTTTTATGAGATGATGTGGTTCACACACTGAGGTAACAACAGCTTTGCTTCTAACTTGTTTTCTCTACTCTTTATACAAGAAGTTAGATTTGTATTTCTTAATGACAATATCCTTACACAAAAAAACTAAATAAAAGTGTCATGATTATATTTGTGCAAAAAATTTAACCAAATTTATGTTTTATTAATAAATTTATAGTTAACCAAAACCAATACTCCCTCTTTCCGTTTTATTTTAATTGTTTTAAAATTTTGCATACAAATAACATTTAATTTATATATTTTCAAATTTAAAACTCTATTATATACATTTAATCACATTTCAACTAATAAAAAAAATATAAATTTGATAAATTCTAAAACGACATTTATTTTGAGACGAATTCTTTTTTCTACAGTGACATATAAATTGAATCGGAGAGAATATCAAATTAGCGTTGACATCATGTTATAACTTTTTTAGTTTCTAGTACTTAAAAGTGTATTTGCCCAATTTATTTTTATGTAATATAATAATCGCATTTGATTGTAACAAAGGTAATTGTTAGCTGGCCAAAAAAAATACAAATTGAGTACACACTGAATTACAAATAGTTATTTGAACAAGAACTTTGAACCGGATGAAACTGTGAGCCGTGTAATAATAACAGTAACACAAAGCCAAGAATATGTTTTGAATCAAGGCAAAGACTTGGCCATTTGTCTGAGTAGAAACTTTTCAATCTTTCCAGTAGAAGTCTTTGGAAGCTCCTCCATGAACACCACATTCCTAGGAACCATATACTTTGGTAGCTTCTTCTTACAAAACTCTCTTATCTCCCTCTCACTAACTGACCCACCATCATCACTCTTCAAGCTCACAAACGCACAAGGTGTCTCTCCCCACATCTTATCCGGTTTAGCCACCACAGCTGCTTCCTTAACCGCTTGGTTCGTGTACAAAACCGTCTCCACTTCCGTGCTGCTTATGTTGTCTCCTCCACATATGATCACATCCTTTGATCTATCCTTGACTTCCAAGTAACCGTTCGGGTGCATCACACCTCTGTCTCCAGTGTAGAACCATCCATCACCTCTCATACTCGCCGCAGTCCCTTCGGGGTCTTTGTAGTATCCCAACATGACGGAACCACCTCTTAGGACAACCTCTCCCACGGTTACTCCGTCGTGCTTCACACTCTTTCCCGTTACCGTGTCTAACACGTCAACTTCTGCGAAAACCGCGGTTTTGATTCCTTGCCTCGACTTCAGTTTCGCTCTCTCGTCTTGTCCTAGCCCGTCCCACTCGGGCTTCCACGCACATGTGACAACTAGACCACCGGTTTCAGTCAGCCCGTAACCGTGGCCCACATCAAAACCAAGACTCTCGGCCCTTGAAATGACTGTAGTCGGAGGAGGAGCTCCGGCTATCATAACCTGGACCGGTCTTTTAAGCTGCTTCCGAGATGGATAATTAGTCAGCATGTTGAGAACCAGCGGCGCGGCGCACATGTGAGTCACTTCATGCTTGTCTATTAACTCGAAAACGGTTGGAGCATCAACTCTTCGGACACAAATATTTGTGGCCCCCACAGCGGCTGTGGCCCATGTGTAGCCCCAACCGTTGACGTGGAACATCGGTAAGGTCCATAGGTAGACTGGTCGGTTAGGCATAGACCAGTAGAGCAAAGCGTTAACCGCGCTCATGAAAACTGCTCTATGGCTAAGTACTACACCTTTAGGAGACGACGTCGTTCCGGAGGTGTAGTTAAGCACCATTGGGTTCCACTCGTTGTTAGGACGGACCCACTTGAACCTCGGGTCTCCTCTCTCCATAACACCTTCATAGGTGTCGAGAAAATCCACGTCAGCAGATGAAGAGGTTGGTAGGTTGGCAATGCCGGATCTGCATTTTAAGGGGTTATAAACATTTTTAGATTAATCTTGATAAAAATATCAATGTTCAAGAAATCGTTAGACATCTAACTATTGATAAAAATATCAATCGTCTAACGATTTCTTGAACATCTATACCGATTTATTGAACATCTATACCAATTTTTTTTAAAAAAAATTGTTTCAGAAAATTGATTTTTCCTATATACAATATACTCTCTAGGCGTGTCATCAGTCTAAACGAATTTTTAGAACATTGAAAATATTAATAACTTGGACCAAGTGATTATGTATATAGCTTTTAACCGATTGTTCAGGTTGCACCTAGAACCGTCCTTACATGTTGATGTCATCTTGTAGGAGGACGAGACGAGGTTTCTCATTCTTGGGCAAAAACGAGAGAGCTTCGAGGACTAAAGAACTCGACTGATGGTCGACGAAAACGAGTTTGGATTCACTGTGACTCAGAACAACAGAGAGTGCATGAGCGTCTAAACGAGGGTTGATGTTGTTGAGAACTGCACCAGACATAGGAACCGCGAACTGAAGTTCGTAGACGGAAGGGACGTTGGGGCCAATAACGGAGACAACTTGGCCACGGTTGATTCCGAGGGAGGAGGAAGATAGAGTCGAAGCGACACGTAGACATCTAGAGTGGGTTTCAGACCAAGTATGGGAGGTGGTATCGTGGAGGAGGGAAGGAGAGTCGCCGTAAACGGAGGCGGCTCGGTCTAAGAAACCGAGAACAGTCAGAGGAGATGAGTTTGAAGGGTGTGGGAGTAAAAGTTCCATCGTGTTTGCTCATCTAGTAAAGCTAGACATTGATGAAATATATATATATTTTTGCGGGTATGATTGGGTGACACATAATTCATTATTTTGCAATATTATAATTTCGGGATTAGCTAATAGTAATACTAAGATTAAAAGTAATAGGTGGGACAGGCTGTTTACTAGAAATGTCCGTATGAACTCGTATTGACTTGGATGCATGATGTTTCGCTAGCATGGTTTTGGTAACTGGTATTACAAATTTAGAAATATGCTAAATAAAAGAAAACTATGTATGTGGAAAGTTTGAACTTGCGTTTGGTCTGAACCAATTTACGTAGTAATCTAGTAATATACAATCTGTTATCCATTAGCTAGTATCAAAATTTTAGCCAAAAAAAAGAGAGGAATTAATTGAATTGACTCAAAACAATTAGAAAATGAGTAGATTAACTCATAAATTTCAAATAACTAAAATGACTCTACAAACATGCAAATTTACGATTTTGTCACTTTTAATAACTAAACCATAACAAAAAAAAAAAAAATTAAAATACACTTCAATACTATAAAAAAAAAAAAAAGTCTCGTCGTCTCTGTCATCTCCATCTTCGATGGTCTCGTTTCATCACAACCGACTTCGTTTCATCAAGGCTCCATAGGATCTTTATTTATGGTATTGCGTGGCCACGAATGTAAAAAATCCATTAATTCCCTTTGAATCTTGTGATATGTGTCTTCTTCTCTTCATAGTGTATTGTTTCTTGATAGCATATACCAGCGAACGTGTAGACCACTTTCATATTCTTTTGGTTTAGGATTTGATGACCACATCACAATATCCTTACACAGAAATAAATAGATAAAAAGTGTCATGGTTAAATTTGTAGACAACTCATGTTATGTTTGTGACAAGATCCAACCAAATATCTTCTTATTAATAAAAATTAATGTTCAAAAACTTGGTCTGAGCTTAGGTCATACACAATACGATTTTTAAAATTTTGATTTTATATGTCGATTAAACTTAGTCTAAATCAATAAAGTTATTTTAAAACTGTTAAATCAAACAATAATATTAGTATAAACGCACAAACATGTCAAAAAATCGTAATATAAATTTTATAATTGATCAAAATAAGTTTATAATAAAACTCAAAACTAAAATATCTGATATAGATTATAGACATTTACGTTTTGTCTATACTCTGGATAATATGCCTAGTCGTTAATTATTTATAAAGTGCATAATTAAAGTATACCAATTTCTTAAACACTGATAAAGATTGTAGTTAAACCAAATTGAAAGCAACCTGAACTACAAATTATTTGAACAAGAATCTTGAACCGGATACAGCTATGAACCAAAAAAACCTTTTGTGATTAAGAAATAGAGACAAACTAATGAACCAGAGACAGTGTAATAACAAACCCAAGATTGTGTTTTCAATCAAGGCAAAGACTTAGCCATTTGTCTAAGAAGAAACTTCTGAATCTTTCCAGTAGAAGTCTTTGGAAGCTCCTCCATGAAAACCACATTCCTAGGAACCATATACTTTGGTAGCTTCTTCTTACAAAACTCCCTTACCTCTTTCTCAGTAACTGACCCACCATCATCACTCTTCAAGCTCACAAACGCACAAGGTGTCTCTCCCCACATCTTATCCGGTTTAGCCACCACAGCTGCTTCCTTAACCGCTTGGTTCGTGTACAAAACCGTCTCCACTTCAGTACTGCTTATGTTCTCTCCTCCACATATGATCACATCTTTTGACCTATCCTTGACTTCCAAGTAACCGTCCGGGTGCATCACACCAATGTCTCCAGTATAGAACCATCCATCTTCTCTCATACTTGCCGCGGTGCCTTCGGGGTCTTTGTAGTATCCCAACATGACACAACCGCCTCTGAAGACAATCTCTCCCACGGTTTCTCCATCGTGCTTCACGCTCTTTCCCGTTACCGTGTCCAACACGTCAGCCTCCGCGAAAACCGCGGTTCTGATTCCTTGCCTTGACTTGAGCTTTGCTCTCTCCTCTTGTCCTAACCCGTCCCACTCGGGCTTCCACTCACATGTGACAACTAGACCACCGGTTTCCGTGAGCCCGTAACCATGGCCCACATCAAAACCTAGACTCTCTGACTCTGAAATGACCGTAGCCGGAGGAGGAGCTCCAGCTGTCATAACCTGAACCGGTCGTTTAAGCTGTTTCCGAGCTGGATAGTTAGTCAGCATGTTGAGAACCGTCGGTGCGGCACACATGTGAGTCACTTGATGCTTGTCTATCAACTCGAAAATGGTCGGAGCGTCTACTCTTCGGACACATATGTTTGTGGCTCCCACAGCAGCTGTGGCCCATGTGTAAGCCCAACCGTTTGCATGGAACATAGGTAAGGTCCATAGGTAGACTGGTCGGTTAGGCATAGACCAGTTGAGCAAAGAGTTAACCGCGCTCATGAAAACTGCTCTATGGCTAAGTACCACACCCTTGGGAGACGACGTCGTTCCCGAAGTGTAGTTAAGCA